TAGCTTTGATCGTTGGGTCAGAAGTTTTCTGAATGATTTGCTCGGCATCAGGGCAAGTTAGAGCTAGGTCGAGGGCTTCCTGACACGCCTTGGGTAATCCGTACAAGTAATTGGTGGAATATTTCTTATGAAACTCTCGCATGTACTCCAGGGATTCATCGAGGAATGTAGGGTGTAACTTGCGTTGTATTTTGATGAACGGCTCGCGCGGTGGTGATGGAGAAAGTTTCCTTTCGGCTTCTTGTCTAAAATGCTCGAGATGAGCTCTCGTTTCCCTAGGCCGGAGAAGAAGCTTGATACGTTTCTTAGACTCTTCAATAGTGGTTTCAAAGCCGGGAGCCGCTACTTTTCTCCCTTCGACTAACTCGGTCATGATAATCGGGGTTGGCCGTTCACTAATGCTTTCCACGGCCTGTTTTGGTTGCCACCGGTTGGTAGGGCTGGTTTGCGCTTCTCATCGTCGAGCCATGCAATCCATTCGTTGGCGGCGACGTTTTTGAGATTTAGACAACGCCGTATATAGGCCAGTCGGAGAATTGTAACTGTACCAGCGTTGATCCAATGTCCTAGGTGGTTTGAAAGTTTTTCGATCGGCCGGTGATCCCGAATTACTGGTATTGCGCGAGTAATAATCCTCATTATAGAAAGGTACGTCGAAGTCAAGACGCCTCATGACCGAGGCCTAGTCTTTTGGCCGTACTTGTGGGCCGAGTCTATCAAACACTTGGCGTCGTGGACCGTTACCATGTCCCCTTGGCGATGTTGTAAGGGTCGTGGACGGTGTCAATGATGTCTTCTTCCTAGGTTTGACTGGTGTTTTACAGTGGTCGCATAAAACCCTTGATTCATGAGTTTCATCGGGACTTGACCCCGTCATAGGCTCATCGATGGGTGGCCCCGAGCGTTTCGTAGGTGGTGCATTTGAAAATAAATCAATCTTTAGTCTTGTTTGACCATTCCGTTTACGGATATGCTGCACCGGGACGTATTCGGCCTTCTCTTTGTTTTTAGGAAGATGAGCATCCACTATACCAATTGTTGTTGAAGGGAAGGGATTGACGTCGACCGCCATCTGCTTTTCCGGAAATTTCAACTTTCCTTTCTCAATCCAACTTTGAATTGTGCCTCGGAATACAACACAATTATTGGTTGCATGCTTATTAGAATTATGATACTTGCAGTATATCTTGCCCTTCAATTCATCGGCCTTAGGGATAGTATGCCCCGGCCGAAGCTTGATGATTTTTGCTGCCAATAATTGATCGAAAATTGCATCGGCTTTGGTGATATCGAAAGTGTATACTTTCGATGATTTACTCATCTCCTCGGCGGCCGAACGGGTCTTGGTGTCTTTGGAACTTACTTGAGCTAAAGCCTTGCAGACATAAGGTTTATCTATTATTATCTCGACCGCATCCACACTAGCATACTGAGGGTCCTCGCTTTCGGCCAATGCATAGCTAACCGTGGGATTCTTATACAACGTCCCCCGGGATGGTGACTTTGATATCTTTTCTTCTCGGAGTAGATAATCATATTGTTCAATGTGTTGAGCAAGTTCGTACATATCTCGAATGTTTGCCCCCAGAAACTTCTTTTTGTATTCCACGTCCAATCCGTTGAGGGCGATCCTGACGAATTCCACTTCAGGGAGAGGTACTCGGCACCAATTCCTGGTCGACTTAAACCTTGTTAGGTATTCCATTGGAGATTCGTCGAACGCTTGAGCCATCCTTGCCAACGATGATACAGACATTTCCATCTCTGGCCGATAGAATTGTTCATGGAACTTCTCGACTAACTCTTCCCAACTCTGCACGGAGTTGGGTGGGAGATTAATGTACCAAGCGAAAGCTGAGCCTGTTAGTGAAAAATTAAACAGCCGTAATTTATAGAAGTCGCTATTGACGTCTCCACACTGCGCTGTGAACCGAGCCACTTGTTCTAATGAGGATAAAGACGATTCCCTGACGAAGAGACTGAAATCAGGGATCTTAAAACCTCGCGTGTATTCAAACCTTTCTACATAAGCCGGGCATGGATGGATGAATTTTGGAAACTTCGGCCCCTTCTTTAGGGCCGAGTCAATCATTCTCTAGATTTCGGTCATGTTTACGGAGGCGGCTTCTTCTCTCTGGCTTGGTCCTTCGGATCTATTGCCTGGTCCACCTCTTTTATTTAAGGTGATTGGTTGTGGCCGGACGGACCCTTTCTCGGCTTGTATTGGGACATTCGTAGATAACTGCCGAGGCTGGCCGACCTGGCCATCTTCGAAGGCTTTACTAACCAATAGTTCAAGCATCCTGGTCTATGCGTCGTTGTTACTTCGTATTGCTTCCAGTAAATCATTCATCTTTTGACCAATCGACTGCTTGACCTGTCGATACTGTACATCAAGTCGTCTCCGAAGAAACGACCTAGTTGGTGGATCAGAACCCTCCCCACCATCGTCGTCGTAATCTTCCACTATTCCTTCCACGAACATGCATGTTGTTTGGTTAAGGATCTTTGAGTTGCGAGGTTGTCCGCCGAGATAGATTTCATTCTCTCGGCGTGTCGCGCTTGTGGCCTCAGGTGGCACAACAATGATCGGATTTTTTGCAGGGTGCAAATCCTGCCCAAGGCCTTGCACCGGTAAGTCAGCTGTTGACTTTCCCATGATTGTTTTCTTCTTTACAAACCGTGTCTCAATGGTCATGAACTCCAAAGGTTTAGCACAATGGTCCCACTGGGCGTGTCAAAATGTTGACTCTAAAAATTACGAAACCTACGTGGTGCGCAGGCCAAGTAACTAATAAGCTAACTACGTCCTTCGGCTAAATGCGGGGCGTGCCAACTCGTCGGCTGAGCTCGGCCGAGGAGTAAAATTCGTTGATGTTGCGTTGAGCGCGTTGTTGACTTCTCTATCTTGCAATTGCGACCGAGGAAGGAACACTCTCGGTCTCTAGGTTCTATAGCCTGAAAACAAGGCTACTAATTCTGCGAAGTTCACAAATCGTCAGAACCCGATTCGATCACTGTGGTTATGTTCGTAAGAGGATAAACCCGTCGAATCGAGACTAAACTATATGGACACAGGTACTCGAATGTGATGTATGTCTTGATGGTAAATGTAATTCGACCGTCGGAATGCCAAACTCTGAAACTTACTTGTGAGTATCCAATCATAAAATCATTCGGCGTCCAGTACGCCGAATAACGTAATTCGTAACACCTGACTACGCCTAGAAGGCTAGCAAGGTGACCTCTACCAACAAGGGTCCGAAAACCCTTCTCGGCTGAGACTTAGATAGGTAACCGATCGGCCTCGACGCAGTGTTGTTTATCCAAACTGAAGGTGCTTCTCGGTCGGCTGATTCTGCGGCAACAGTGCTGTTTATCCAAACTGAAGGTGCTCGCCGGGTGCCTCCACAGTGCTGTTTATCCAAACTGAAGGTCTGTCGGCGGAAAAAGAAAAGGAAAAAATCTCAAGGTATTTGAGAGGTTTTGCGCAGGGCAATTGTATGCTGAATTGAAGGTCCCTTTTTTTTGTTGCATGATTTCTTGTATTTACAGCACCCTATTCCTTGAAACCGAATTGCATCCTTTTCTGGATTGGGAGTCCCTGTCCAGTTTCAACTCTACTTCGAACAAACCTACCCCAACTAGGACTTTGAACTTTCCCTATTCCGAGGCTTTATTCTTTGCCTACCGGGAATCTTGGTCGCACCAGGACTTCCTCGACCCTTTCTGTTTAGCTGGACTACTTAGGATAGGACTCGACATACCCTGCCAACTGGCCCGGGATTTATCACTCGGCCTATAGCATTTGACACGGCCTTGGGCGGAGCAAAACCTGCTGCTCAGCCCAACAATATTATTTTTGGGCCTAAACAATAACTTATTCTCGTATGTTGATTAGGGAGGTCTACTTGATTTGCATGCTTGAATTTGGTGCTAGAATATAAGGGAGTTTCACATAATCGTTACAAACTTATATTCACAAGTAGTTAAGGTTGTTTTCACAATCATGTTAAGTGAATTGCTAGCATAAGTATTATGATGTCATAATTACGAATGCTTTGTCAATACTTATGATTTTCATAGAACGTAATGATCTTTGATTGTATCTCTATTATGAAGTCATGTAGGGAACTTTTGAAGAATGTTTTGGGTTGTCGTATGATGTCATCCAATCTAATAACTAAAGGAGAATTTGAAGGTTAATTAGTGATGTCACAGTTAATCTGGGGTGTTGAGGTTCATGGTTTATCGAAAAAGCAACTGGAAATCAATTTGTGTTTGAATGTATCATGTGTGGAAAAGAAGCCTCTACCTAGCTAATCATCCATAGTTTTTCTCAAATTCGTCCAAAGTTTACTTAAGTCTTTTAGTTACTTGTTTTTCTCTTAAATTCGTCAAAAACCCAATCCCCTTTATTTAGTTGTGTCAAATCTGTCCTAATTAGTGTTTTTGAGTATTTTGAGTCAAAACCAAACCTATTTTCGTCCAAATTGAGTCTTAGAGTTTAGTTTGAGTTTATTTGGTTGTTTTGTGTTGTTTTGAGTCTTTTGAGTTCGTTTGGAGTCATATAAGTTTAGTTAAGAGTTTCTGAGTTTGTTTAAGTGTTTTTAATCATATATTTGTATCTTTGAGTCAGTTTTCATTAGATTAGCAATCATTCCTAATCCCCGGCCTAAAACGATCCCTACTTATATCTTTACTACAAGTGTCAAAAAGAGGATTTAATTTGTGTGCTATATTATTTATTACATCAGAGTGCATCATTTGCTATTCTCTATTCTAGGGCTTGCTTTTGAATCTTTCAGGAATTTTCTACACTTCATGACATTATTCTTTGAAACTTATACAGAGCAATTTGCTTATACTTCAGGAAATTACTTATGAAAATATGCTTCATTTCATAACCCTTTGTGTAATATATAACTCTTCATTCATATGAAATGAACTCGTTACATAATGGGAAACCATGTTTACATGAGCAAATCACGATTTCAGGATTCAACTAGAAATCTTGTGTCATATTTTCATTGTATTATAAATAGCCATATGTAATCTTCTAAGTTTAAAATCTCTAAGGATTTGTACTATAGGAGAACAACTTACACTACTACGTGTCATCCTGTCTCATACCAATGAAACAAGTACATGACTACACAAACTTACATATGGGTTTATTTAATTGACACAAATGCGACCTGAAAGTATACCCATTCTATCTAGTCATTCTCGTCCAAATGGTCATCCTCAACAATATTAACAAATATTTTTTTAATTTTTTTACAAATCAGGTGCCAAAACCAGGCTGAATTACGCACAAGTCATGATTTTATATCCACGAGTGTCCGTCTCCGGCTCCATCATAAAAACCTGATATTAGCCACAGTAATTAGTATCACTCATGAAAAACGCCATACCTGATACCACGACCACATCAACCAAAGCTCAAAACATGACATGCAATTCAGCAATTGATTACAATTCTGATAAGAGATTACGAGGGTCGACCTAAATACAAAATGATGCCAACTTGTGAAATTTAGATTCATTTTGGTGAAAAACACATTACACCAGCAAGTCGATGATGCAATAGTCACTTCTTATTCCCTAAAGAATCTGAGTTAAGTAATTAACTTGCTTTTACCCGACAATAAAAGCACAATCGCCTGAACTATGTGGTTCTTAGCCACAATGGACAACAGAAATCAAAGAGTAATACAACTTACGATGTGCAACGCTTGGTGGGAGCAATGATGTCTGGTTAATCATATTCGTCTCCAATGCTCCATAGCAACCTAAATCACATTTACAGGAAAGGAAAATGTAATTTCACGCCAGTGCTTCGAAAGAGCCAAGAACAATTTACCAAGGGAGTTGAAAACAACACCAGAATAAAGAAAGAATGAATAGGGCCAAAAGATAGCCAATCTTAAAAAAGCGTTGCTTTTTCTCCCAGCTCAGTTGGTTATAGATCTCAGTCACATCTACCAAGTGCCGTCTCGTCATGTACCTGACAAAGAGTCACGGATCATATCAGATATGATGATAAGCTCTAATGTGGTATCTAAAGAGGTTTTGTGAATAAAATTATTCCTCTTCTAATCATATGAAATAATGTAATAATATGATTCTTTTCTTGATCAATCGTTACCTAGCTTTAAAGAACAAAAATAACTTGTGTTCTTGACAACTTGGAAATTATGAAGGCCAAAAATATAGTAAATACACCGATATTGATATAATCTCCTAATGCATTCAATATAATTTGCAATCCAAAGTATGTTATAACATGATGCCGTCCAGACACCATTGTGCATTTAGTTTACGTACTAGCATCCATATAGGTAGGCTATGAATGGCAGAAGGCTCTGTTCAACACGCACACATAGAGGGAGGGATGGAGCACAGAGAAAGGGTGGGCAATAGGTGGAGGGATGTTATGAAAAAGTACGATTTCATTATCTGGGGTGGTGAAATGTGATTTAATTTGTAAAAGCTTCCCAAACTGCCTCTCAGCCAATTGAAAGTTCATGGTAAGGATCCAGATTTCACCAAAAAGTAATGAGCACAGAGTCCTATTAGAACTAGAAATTCTCAAGATCCAGATTTCACCAAAAAGTATTTCCAGATCATAACTTGACCGTATGTCCATACCAATAAAACCAAATTGTAATCAAGTCTAAATTTCTTATCCCAACTTGTTAATAACATGCAAATGGGGTAGTGTTTGGGTTGTAACAACCATTCTCTTACAATGTTCAGTTGATTACCTAGCTGACTTATATACCATGTAAGCATGCTTCACTTGGAACAACGTTACAGTATAATCATATTCAAGTTTCGCACTTTTTACTGAAGTACGTGCCAAAATGATGAATTCATAATCCATCATGAGCAAGTTTTTTCTTTCAAGATTAACAAGATTATATGGAAAGGCATATGACAAAAAGAAACACATAACCATGTTGTGGACGCTACGTAACTTAAGCTGTACCCTATGGATTACACAGAGGTGGTCATTTATATAATTCTAGACACTAACAACATTTGAGTAATGGGTGAGAAAGAAACTTACAAATTGACATTATAATAAAGGTGCGGCAGAGCCATGAAAAGCATGAACCAATGTCGCGCTATAAGAAGAATGAAGCACAAAACTGCTTGAACAATAAATTCTGGCAAAATGACACTGTTTATCCGAGATGATGAATCATATGGGTTGATGTAGTCGTACTCAAGGTCCACCAAGCACACAAGCTGCATTCAGCATTCACAGGGGTCAGGGTCATACATCTAAAAATCTCAAGAACCGTGCATAAATGCCAAGATTAACCACACAATGCAAGACCATATCTAAATATGACTTGTTGGGCAGCTCTACTAGGTAAAAATAGGTGTTATCGACACTTAAGGACAACAAATTGTATTGAGTAGAATTTCCGCAGAACGTCAATCCATATCTAAATATGACTTGTTGGACAGCTCTAAACAAAGGATCCCCTTCATTTAACTAGAATTTCCGCAGAACGTCAAGGAGTATCGTTTTCATCATAATTAAGCTTACACCTGATCAAGTTTTTATATATGTCTTACAAAACTCAGGTTATTCGGCACAAGAATGTAACTTAGACTGTGTTTAAATTTACAACGCGCACACACGCACAGATGCAAGTCCTACAGATTAACATTTTCTACAAATTTTGCAAAAGAACCAGCCTTGGGCGCATTGAGTATCAATTTCTAGAGCCAGTATTTCTTTGTATTTACAAGTTTTGCAAAAGCTCTTCCTGCAAATTTTTAAGAAAAAAAAGAAAACCAGGCTGCTTCTGCACCATGCTTTCTAAGTCAACTTACATTTGATTTGAAGGGGAACAAAGCGTGAAATTTTTCAAAAGAAGAAATGAAAAGATAATCCCTTTTCTAGTTCCATGAACATCCAAAACAACATATGTGAATAGATACTTGATTTCAAAATTTAAAAATAAAAAAACAAGAAAAACCAGTTACACTATAAAGGTAAAATCTAAATACCCAGATGATCCGAGTCTGTGATCCAATGAGCATGTTCTGAATAAATAAAATTAATTAATTAATTAATTAAAAAAGTGGGATGAAATCGTGGAAGAATTACCTGATAACCCAGAATGCACAGCAAAGCTAGAATGAAGAAGAAACTCAGCAGCCATGTCCACAGCATCTCCATACCCAACCACCCCTCTCTCTCTCTCTCTCTCTCTCTGTCTCTGTCTCTCTCTCTCTCTCTCCACTTTTTCTGTCTTCGTCTGCGTCTCCCTGTTTCCGCGCTTCGATCTTCTCTCTCAGTTTCTGTCTTCTTTTATTTCACAGAGAAACAATTTCAGGAATCAAGTTTTCTACTGTTTTGTTTCTGCAAGCAGAAATCCAGTTCTTGTCTACGACAGGTAAGTATTTCTCGTTGTACCATACTTTGGCTTCTAGAAATAAAATTAGGAAAATACTTGGTGGCTGCTGAAGATACAGGAGCTCCTTACCTCCAATCCGAGTGAACACGTATCTATTCGGAATTAGATGTAAGCAGGAGCTCCTGATGAACCGTTCAGCAGCCAAGAGCGTCTATAAAATATGAAATAAAAAATACTTGAATATCCACCACTTTTTATGTTCTTATTTCGTAGACAAAATTATTTTTTTTCCAATGCCAAAAATCGCTACATTGAATTTGTTTTTTTTGATCAAACCATAAATTTATTAAATTAGGAAGCTGACGGCTCAAATAGATGCCGTACTACAAAAACAACACACTCTTTTTCATTATTGTGATAGAAAGTCATTTGCATTGCATCGATGGGATTAGTTTTTAAATCTAAAACAAATTAGTGAAAAGGTTGAACGGCTCGTAGCTGACTAGTGGCGGGCTTCCAGTTCCAGCCATCATATTAAGATGGAAGATTAGAAATATATCAAATGGAATTAAGGGAAGAACATAAATAAACAATTTTATGCAAAAAGAAAACATAAATAAACAATAGTTATTGTATGTCACAATAATTGGGTACTTGCACGTAATACTCACAATAATTCGTTGGAATTTTGTTGAATGGCAAAATCTGGGATCAAAATGTTTTTATAGACTTTAGGGTATAATTTTTAAGCGCAACGAGTGACCATTATAATTAAGGAATAAGGAATTCCTTTCATAGTAGGAGTCTAATTTCAAATGACACGTATGTAACGAAAATCTAGATATCATGAAATTAAAAATTAAGAATTTTAACGGAAAGCTCTCAGTTCTGTTTATTTTAACAAAAAATTATATTTTTACACTAAAAAGTCAATTATGTACTATTTACTTTACCTTTTATTTTGTCCTTATTGTTAAAACTCAAAGTTTTCAAAACATTTTCATTAGTTTTCCTTTAAAAATTATGCTCATTGAGTCACATTTAAATTGAATAACGGTTAACTAAATAATTAATAAATAAAAGTATTCATCCTATAATAATTTGTTTACTTAAAAATGAAACATTTTAAGTTCGAATCTCGTAGATAATGAATTCAATCCCAAATTAAACTGTCTATTATACAATTTAACCAAACCCTACTCCTCTTAATGTAAAATATCGATCTAACTAAAATAAAAAAAAAGGGTAGTGAAGTTAATTTAGGGTGTCATTGTTTGTTTCGTTAGCTTTCACCGCATTAGATTGAATTAAATGTTAGCGTAGTCCGGACTAGCTTTCGCTAGACGGTCTTAGCGAGACCGCTCGAAATCGGGCGGACTGCTAATCCCAATTCTGCAATGTTTTGCGCCTCCCAGCTGCTCCTTCGCGTCCCACAACCATTTGAAAACCCAGATCCTGCACAACAGTCATTCCAGATCCAGAAAAGGAAAAACGCACCGTGCGAAATTCCAAAAAAAAAAAAGAAAAAAAAAAGTTCAAACATGCACACCTGTTCTAGACCCAATCCCCAATTCGAAACAAAATCGATGTGCTTCTAAAACCAAAAACCCACATCAGACGTTCTAGATTCGAGGACTTTGAAGTTATACGAAGCTCATCGACTAGCTGTTGGCCCATCTAAATGTCACCTGCAAATTTCAATGAACAAGATTGCTCGAATGGCACCTTCAAATTTCAGCGAACAAGTTCACTAATTTTTATTTGGAAGGAGATTATGAAGTGAATTCAAGAGAGAGAGAGACGCAGATTGCAGAGTTGGACGGAAACAAGGGTGAGAGGAAAGTTAAGGTAGAGAGGGGAGAGAGAAACAAAAAATTGTGGATTTAATAAATATAAATATCATTTGTCTACGTATTTGTGTGTATAAGCACATTTTTTTAAAAATAAGAAAGAGAGAGGAATTTTAACTAAAAAACAGGAAATTTTGGTTTTTTTTTTTTTTTTTTTTTTTTTTTTTTAATGTTAGAGGTATTTTAACTAAAAAAAAAGGAAAATTTGGATCTTTGAAATTACATTATTACCTTTTTTTTTTTTGTGTGATAGAAGACTAAGTTGTCTTTTCACTCTCTTTTGGTTGACAAATAGGGTTTTATTAATTAGTAAAGATATTGTCACTTAGTAATATAATTTAGTGATATTTTTCTTTACTTGTAAATGAGAAATCTTATATTCGATTCTGGCAAAAAGTGAATTTGAATCACATTATTGCTAACCCATTAAGAGGCTTAGTTGACTTCACCACCCCTCTTAGTATAGATAATATCGTTTGTTAATAAATAAATAAAATATTGGAAATATGAATTAGAAAATAATAAAAAAATATTGGGTCTCAAAAATAATTTAATACATGAATTAGTGCGACATTGCACTAAATGCCTCATTATTCTTATATTACTCAGTCCATGTCAAGCCAATCCAAGTTAGCCCTTGAAGCTAGTATAGTCTGAGATAATCCAGTACAACAAACGCACCCTTAGGGGGACTGACTATAACACTACTTGTAAGTATTTGGTACAGGTAGTAGATTTTGATAAAGCCAATAGAAAAGTCATCCATAATAATTTACATTCATAAGTAGACTTAACAATTTTTTACACGACCCAATAACATGACAAGTAAACCATACGAAAATAATAGATTTCGGGTCAACATGATAACTAATTGGGTCCTTATCAGGTCACAATAAGAATCCATTAATAACGGGTCCTGTAGGTTTACATGAGGATGACATATGGGTAACACATTTCGACACATTAAGAAAAAAAAGGTTATTTTGATAATTATAGTTTTTTTAAACTACTAAAAAAATTTACTATAAATTACAATAGTCATAGTATATATGTATATATTGTATATTAAATATGTGTTATTATATTATTATTCTATATAAATTTTAAAAATAAAAGTTTTATTTATGCATTTATTTTTATAGTACACTATAGGAAAAAAGTGAGAATAAAAACATCAAGTAATTTAAAAACATCAAACACATTAAAAAAATGTGCATGTTTCCTCAACCTTGAAATACAACTCTCTTCGTTTTGTATATTCTTGAACATTTGGTATTTTGTAGTAATGTACTAATATTTTTTCATTAAGCTCTTATTTTGGTGTATATAATACTTGAAAGACAATTTTTTTTATGTTTTGAAGTAATATTTATATGACATTATTGTAACATCTCACATCGTCTAGGAGAGTGGATCATGTAAGCTAATAAGCTCCAAAAAGGCTTTGTGCTAGGTAGGGATGAGAATATGCATATAAGGCAGTGAGTTCGCGCGAGAGCAATTCCAGGATGGGTGACCCACTGGGAAGTTCTCGTGTGAGTTCCCAAAAACAAAACCGTGAGGGAGTGGTCAAGGCCCAAAGCGGACAATATCGTGCTACAGTGGATTCGAGCCCGGGATGTGGTGGGGGCTTGGGCCAGGATGCGACATTATGGTATGCATATACTAATTTAGTATTATATTTTTATTTTTATTTGGTCAAATTATGTTTTTTATTTTTATTATTTATTGATTTAAAATATATTTTCGCTAATCGGTTACGAGTCAAGTCATATTACCTGGTAATATTAACAAGTCGATTTCAGGTTAGATCATATTATCCGTTTACTTTAACAGGTTGAACCTAAAACTTCTCATTATAAGTAGGGTAGAATAAAATTTTACATTAAGTGGTGTGTGCAAAACGTAATTTTCGCCAAATAGAACTACGTTTTGGGCTGGTCAAGTGTATTGAGGCCTTCTATAACCAATCTGCACGACGTGGGCCTCGGTCGTTAGTCCTAGTCCCCACACCAAAACGACACCGTAAGCCCGATTTATTTCTTGACGCAAACGACACCGTGGGATCTGAACGAAGAAAAGCAAGGTGTTTGAAACCCAGAGACCTCACTCTCCATTTCCAATCCCTAATTTTGCTTCTCTCTATCTCTCAACCCAGACCGATCCGCCATGACCAAGCAGCACGCTAACTGGTCCCCTTACGACAACAATGGCGGGTATGTATTCTCTCGTTCCCTGCAACAATATCGTCGTTTCCTCTTTTATTTTTATTTTTATTTTTTATTTTTTGGGATTTTAATGTTTTCGTGCTTATTGCAGGTCCTGTGTGGCGATCGCCGGAGCCAACTACTGTGTGATTGCCGCCGATACTCGGATGTCGACCGGTTACAGTATTCTCACCCGCGACTACTCCAAAATCTGCAAATTGTGTGCTTTTATACCAATTTCTCTCGTATTTATATAATTTTTTTTCATGAATTTTTATATTTATGCACTCGATTTTGGAGATTCGAAAGTCTGGCCGCTGTGTTTTTATAGAAAACTTCATTTTAATCCTTGGGAAAGATGACTTTTATCTGATTTTACTGCTGTTAGGAATTTTTTGTTGGCGTTTTTAGGGTTTTAACTGATTTTATTTTGCTCGTGGTTAGGTTTGATTTTTAATTACCACTTGGGTTTGTGTTTTACTTCTGTATTAGAGGTTTAGCCTAGTGGGTTTTGGGGAAGGTACATTGCATTTAGTTAGCGGGATTTTTGCTCACTATCCCCTGGCGATGCTGACCATTACTATCATATTGACTACTGTTGGATGAGTATGAGTTTCGAGATTTGTGTAGTACTTAGAGTAAATCACACTCGTCCAACGGTGGTTAATACGGTGGTAATGGTCACCATTTAAGGGTGGTGAGCAAAAATGCTCTCTTTAGATGGCTTATAGGAAGTGTGGTGATTATAACAGTTTGCTTCTTGGACATTTGTAATGCTTGCAGTTTTACTGCTAATGATTTTTGGGATAGCTATTGTGTTTGCTATCATTGTTATGGTTGATTCCACTGACTGAAATATGTAAAAAAAAGTAGCAGATGATAAATATGAGAGGTAATATGCACCGAAAACGTGTTATTGCAGTATAAAAAAGCATGAAATTATGCTGAAGAGAAATTGAGTTAGGAAGTGAAGCTTCTGTATTCATAAGCTAAATCAAAGATTCTCAATTGAAGTATTATAAAGCATGAAAGTATCAAGGTGCAAAACAAAGTAGATATGAATTGACGCTGCTAGGATTGAGTACCTGAGCTAGTGTCACTGTGTCAGACCAGATTGTTAAAGCACCTTAGTCTAAATTTTGATGCTGAGGAACCGATAGGTTTC